TTGCTATTTCTGCTTTTAAAGAGGTATCTAGAAATGAGTTTGTTAGTTTATTATCTATGGCAGAAACAGAGTTTGAAGTTACCTGTGTGAGTTTATTAATAATTGGTAAAATACAATATTGAAACATGTTGTCAAAAAATAATTTAGTAATTGGAAACTCATTGTATTTTAAACAATCTATGTTAAGGTCCCCAATACAGAATAACTTTTTTTATATATAATATAATACAGAATAACTTTTTTTGTTCTTTATTAATTTTGAGAATAATTCCGTCTAGATAATTAGAAAAAGTTTTAATATTACCTTCAGGTGGTCTATAACAGGTAGAAACTATAATATTTTTAAACATGGAGTTTATGATTTCTATTGTAAAGACCTCACTATCGGCATTAGAAATGGAGTGGTCTTTTCTTACTTTTATCGCTTGATCATTCCGAACATAAGTTGCAATCCCTCCTCCCTTTTTGCATGTTTTTCTTTCAAAAGATATTAATTTATAATTAAGAATTTGTAGGTTAGAGTTATTTTCGATTGATTCGTCAGAACACCAAGTTTCTGTTAGACAAATCATACTGAATAAATAATTACAATCAATTAGGAAGTGCTTAAGTTTGTCAAAATTTTTATTTATGATTCTTATATTTATGTGAATTACTGTAAAATTATTTTTAATAGTTTCAAGTATCGGCATTAGAAATGGAGTGGTCTTTTCTTACTTTTATCGCTTGATCATTCCGAACATAAGTTGCAATCCCTCCTCCCTTTTTGCATGTTTTTCTTTCAAAAGATATTAATTTATAATTAAGAATTTGTAGGTTAGAGTTATTTTCGATTGATTCGTCAGAACACCAAGTTTCTGTTAGACAAATCATACTGAATAAATAATTACAATCAATTAGGAAGTGCTTAAGTTTGTCAAAATTTTTATTTATGATTCTTATATTTATGTGAATTACTGTAAAATTATTTTTAATAGTTTCAAGTTCAGTTTTAAAAGTTTCAGTTTTAAAATATACAGTCAAAAATTACCAAAATCATAGGTTTAATGTATCGAGTTCGCTCGTACATTAATACAAATAGTCTTAAATTAATCTACTTTGGGCTAATTCACAGCCTCATCAGCTATGCAAACATTTCATGGGCAAGTACTCAAACAGCAAAGCTTAAGAAACTTTATAGCTTTCAGAAACATGCCTGTAGAATTATTTACTTTAAAAATAGGCGGGAACACGCTAATCCCTTGATGAAAGATATGAAAATGATGAATGTATTTGAAATAAATATCTACCAGCATTTAATTTTCATGTATCGTTACAATCACAATATTTCTCCTATAAGCTTTAAAAATAAGTTTGAGTTAAATAAAAATGATAACTATAATCTTAGAGCGAATATGTTGAACACATATAAACTGCCAAGGATAATAAATAAATATTCAAAATACAGCATTTTATATAGAAGTCCAAAGGTATGCAGAAAGAGTTCAAAGGTACGGTGAGTTCGTTAAGTTCATTCAAGTTTTTAACAAAAAAAGAAATCTTTAAAACCGGTGAAACATTTTTTGTTAATAATGCTTTGGATAAATTCTCTTAAATAAGTTTTTGTTTTGTTTCTACTTTTGTTTATTGCTTGACAATTTTTATTAGCGGATTACGCATTTTGTTATGATATTTTATTGACATTTTTATTTTGTATGTCATACTACGATATTTTAATTAAATCTTGTTAAAGGGGTTCTATGAAAAGATTGCGATGACGTTCTGTCATCCTCATCTTCTTTGAGTCCTTATTTTGTTATACTTATTTTGTTAAACTTTATATTATGTAGTAGAATCTGTAAAATTCTTATGTTATGTACACAGAGAAAAAAAAAAAAAAAAAAATATCGAGAGTCAAAATTATTCATTTGAAAAGTTTGCGTATCAGCGTCATTGAGTATATTATTCGCAGTTTCGAAAACATTAAAGCGCACCGACTGAAAATCTATTGTTTGTTGATCGTTAATTTAAAATTTTTAATTGAAAACGCGTTTGAAAAAATTTTAAATTAAAAACGCGTAAGAAAAATTTTAAATTGAAAACGCGTAAGAAAAAAAATACTTGAAGCGCTATTTTTAAAATCTCGTGTAAATATTTTATTGTATTTTAAAATAGCGTATTTACCTTCGCTTCTTAGTTTTTTGACTACTTCCCATAACTTTCTTTGATGATATATTGTTTTTTGAGCGAAGTCTTCATTTATGTATAGACTAGTTCCTTTAAGGGGTTGTCCATTAATTACGTCAACACAATAGAGGGAGGATGGGTCAAAACTTTTTCGATAATTGTTGACGCGGGGGAGGGGGGGAGGTCAATTTAAGTTGACGTCAACAATTTTTTTTTTTTGAGTTTCATTGGAAAATTAGGCTGAGTAATCAAAAGTTGACGTAATTTTATAGGGGAGGGGGGTCTTTGGAAATTTAACAAATTGTTGACAAGGGGGAGAGAGGAAGGTAAAAATTTCAAAAAATTTGTTGACGTAATTAATGGACAGTCCCTAAGTCGATTTACTGCATTGAGAATTTTGTTCTTGTCTTGGTAATTTAAAAGTTTTAAGACTAATGTTCTTGGTTAGTTATCTTTAAATTGTCCAATTCGATGAGATTTCTCTTTCTACCACCACTTCACTTGGTATTTTCATTAGTGTTTTGAAAATTTCTTTAGCAGCTTTTTCGCAATCTTCCCAACTTTCGCTGGGTGTTTCTTGTAACCCATCAACTCTTAAGTTGTTCCTTCTTGATCGATTTTCTAGATATTTAGATTTTTTATTTAATGAATTGATTTATTTGTCGTAGTATTTCTTTATTTGTAATATTTTTTCCGAGATAACATTTTCTTGAAAATTTAGGCTGTCCTTAATATCGCATAAGTCTTTTTCTATATTTGATACATTACATTTGTTGTTATTTTATGTTCCTCAAGTTTACTTGTTATTATTTTTTCAATGTTTTTCATTGTAATGTCCATTTTGCAGTTTTAAAAACACATCTGTTCGCTTCGAAATTCCCGTTGAAAAAAAATATTTTCTGTTTCTTTCCGATATAACAATGGCCAATTAAAATATTAAACAAAAAAATTTGTTTCAATTGCAGTTTATATGAAAACCCAGAGTTATTTATTACACGTCAAGTTATTTATTACACGTCATTGATAGAAGCCCGATTAATGTTTATTTAGGATGATTCAAAACAAGATTTTAAATACTTAATAAAACGCAGACCAGAAAAGTTATTGTATATATTTGAATTAGTATTGAAAGATAATAGGCCGGGTGAATAAAAATGAGCGATTGCTTTAACTCAGTAATTGGTCAGCTTTACGTAAATAAAAACTTCAGCAGTTTTGCTCAAATTTTTAATCACGTAAAATTAGGCGATTTACTCAGTAATTTCTCAGCTTTACGTGAATAAAAACATAAGCAAAATAGGTGTTTTTATTCACGCAAAGCTGATCAATTACTAAGTAAAACCAATTGCTCATTTTTACTCACCCGGCCTAATGACTTTTTAAGTCTGCGTTTTATTAAAATGTCAAAATCTTACTTTAAATCATCCAAAAAAAAAAACCGTTAACGTAGCAGCCCACGTTTACTTTATAAAATACTAGTCACCTATAACGATAATTTTATCCCGACCAAACGAAAGTTAATGTCATTAAACGATAAGCAATAAAATTCCACAAAGAATTTTTTTTTTATCAGCAATGTCGCTTCAAAGTTCACGCCTCTTTCCTTACCGATGACACGAAGTACGCCCAGGGCTCTTGATCTCTTGCTTTTAAAGCAAGCGCTCTATCCACTGCGCCGCGGCCGCTATTGTTTAAACTTGTTTTTTGTAACTATTGTTTATAGCTACTTAAATTATTAAAATTACTCACACCACGTTTGAAATTAAACTCTTCATGTACACTTCAAATTAAAAAAAAAAATCACCTAATAGTAAACCTCTTACTTACTTTATGTGTTACTTAGGTCTCTGTTTTTCTTTAGAATGTGAAAGTTTTATTCAGGTTTAAGAAAAAACTAAAACATGTTTGGCATTGGTAAAACGTTGGTAAGGAAAAAAAAATCATAGTTCTTTTATTAAGCAGCCATGGCGCAGTGGTTCGAACGCTAGAGATAGAAGCAAGAGATCAGGAGCTCAATGCGAGTGATGGGCATATTTCGCGTCGTCGGTTGGGGGAGGCGTGGCCTTCCTAGTTAAATACTTTTCCGCTGTGCTTTGTGACAATACCGATAGGTCTTCTTAGGGAACAAAATATTTAAAAAATAATTATTATTACTAATATGACTTCAAAACGTTACAAAAGTTACATAAGTTTTCGAATACAGAGTTAAATTTTACGTATAGCGAATCGAAAAACAAAAAAATAATTTTTTCACAATGTCTTTATCAATAACTTTTATTTATATTTTAGTTTTATAAATTTTACTGATAATAACTTTTCTACATTCAAAAACGCATTGCAAAGGCGTTAATTTTGTGCGGGAAATGAATGACAATGTAAAAACTTATTACGAGACAAAAGAAATAATAATATGTTAAAAACATACTACCGTAATAAATTTTCTTAAAGAATATAACTTCCAGTAATACTGGTAAAAACAAAAAGTATTATCTATATGTATTTACAGGAGTCATTTTTTAAACAAAAATTTTTTAGTTTTGTTTTTATTCACCCACTTTTTTTCTATTTACCCTTAAATCATTTATAATAAAGTATTGTAAATGTGTTTAATTTTAATACATGAAATGTGTATTATTCAGACCATGAAGTTTTATATTTACGATTAAATGTTTTGATTTACTGTCAAACTTTTTTGTTTACAATTAAATGAGCTATGTGCGCGCTCGTTGCTTAATCAGTCTGCGACTTTGTTATTTTCAAACTCCGACAGTCTCGAATATATCATTTTTCCGTCTAAAATTTGAATTTTTGTACAATTTTTATAGATGTATATTGATTTATTAGATAAAAATAAATTTTAAACAATTTAAAAAATGATGACTGTACGTTATACGTTATGGTTTGCATGGTTAGGTTAGTTTTTAAGAGATTTTTTAATAACGTTTATAAACTGACTTTCATTTCAAAATATTTTACAACTTGGAGTTCTTTTTTAATTTTAACAACAGCTAAATAAACTCTTTTTATCAAAATTTCAGTACTAGATTAGTATAAGAACATTATAATACTTTTTTATAGTGTTTAAATTAAAAATGGCTTCCAAATATACTTTGTTAACCACTAACGCTAAATCAAACACTTGATAAATAATTATGTTGTACCAAACAGAGTACAGCACGTTGTTTTGTTTTTTATTAGTTTTTTTGAATTTACTAGCCGAACGCCACAATTGTAAAGATGATAAACAAAATCTGAAATTTGAAGTGTATATATAATATATAAAAAGTGTATACCAAAATGGGTATATATGAAAATATGTGTCTGTGTGTATATATATATATATGTATATATATATATATATAATATATATATATATATATATATATATATATATATATATATATATATATATATATATATATATATTTAAAATTAAAAAAAGTTAAATAAATAGTATCGGTCATATTTTCATAAATATTAGTTATGACAAAAAAAGTGATTAGACCTACATGTTTATACGGACTTTATATATATATATATATATATATATATATATAATATATATATATATATATATATATATATATATATATATATATATATATATATATATAAAATTACATTATATAATATACATCATTTACGGTGACATACTATTTATTTAACTTTTTTTAATTTTAAATGTATATATATATATATATATATATATATATATATATATATATATATATATATATATATATATATATATATATATATATATGTATATATACATATATATATATATATATATATATATATATATATATATATATATATATATATATATATATATATCCCAAATTTAAGAAATGTCTTAAATTTCTCTTATGGGGACAAGTTTACGAAAAAACGTATACTTACGGGACAAATTAAAATAGAGGAAAAATATACGGTGACATTTTTGTGTACCCGTTAATGTTTTTTCTCCGTTTTCTACCTTTTTTTTTTAAATGTCCCCTTAACCATTTTTTATGAAAAGTATATGCTTCGACTGACAAATAGTTAGAAGATGCAATACTGAATTAGTGTTGGGGCAAGGTTAAGGTTATGGTTAAGTTTAAATATTGTTATATTTCTATAAAACATTAGTTTTTGCAAACAAATGGAAAAAAGAAAAGAAATATAGTATATATTAATTAAATAAAAACAACAAAAATAGATTTAAAAACCACATTTTTGATAGTAAAATTTAAATACGAATAAATAAAAAATTGTGTGTGTGCGTGCGTGCGTGTGTGTGTGTGTGTGTGTGTGTGTGTTTGTGTGTGTACGTAGAGTGGGCAGCCAAACTATATTTTTACAAGTTACACTTGCAAAAATTATCATATTAACCATTATAAGCTCTTTATGCATTCTTACAATAAATTTTTATATTAATATTAGTGCTAACACTTATATTATTATAAACGTTGTATGCTACAAGCTTAAATACGTATTTTCTTTTAAAAGTAAAACATTATTTTAAACATTATTTTTAGCCTACTATATTAAACGAAGGAGTTATAATATACTAGCTGAGAATGAAGCCGTTTAAAATTGTGGCACAGTCTTAATAGTATAATTATTCCAGCGTCAAGTCAAAATAGCGCCTTAGCGTTGAAAAGAGAAAATTTTAAAATGTAGTTTGTAACCTTTGAAAGCTGTAATCGAAGTAGATTACTTTTTTAAAAGATGAAAGGATAAGTTGTTAAAAACTGTTTGAACTATCAAGAAGTAATCACAACAAAAGTCACGATTTTCGTAAACTAATCGTTTTTTGAATACCTTATTACTAGTTATAGCTCAATCCAAAAGCGATTTACTTTTCTCTTCAAAACTTTAATCCCCTTTTAATCGAAAATAAATTAAGGAATTATTTTACAAGTATTATAAATTCCGCTTAACACTTTTACGTAAATAGTAATTAAATTTAAAATATATTTACTTTATTTAAGAAAAGAAAGGTTAAAAATATTTGTTTACAAATTTAATCCGCCATTTGTAAAAAGGGGCTTCACTTTTCGTAATAAAGTTAGACATCTAGTTATATAATATATCATTGGGTTCCTTGGAAAAAAAAATTGTGTTAAATACCCGACTAGCCGACTATAATCGTCAAAAAAAAAAACGAAAATTAAAAATGACTTTCTTTGGTGGGTAGGAACACGTACCCACTCCGCCTCTAGCTCACTCCAATTATAACTCAAAGTTTTATCTCTACTACTTGTTTAAACTTTATCTTTTGCTTCTCTGTTTAGTTATAGGCTTGGTATGTTTTTAAAGGAGGTTTCTTCGGCAAGGAACTTAATATATCTCTCCAGAATTTTATCTTGTGCTGTAGTTTTTTAGCTGGAATTAAAAAAAATAAACTGGATTTAAAAACAAAACTTTATTTAAATGAAGAGATATAAAATACCTTTTTGTAAATCCAGCAAAAATATTCTTATTTAAATAATTCTTATCTAGACATATATTAGTTTAATTCTAATCTAAAAATTTATTATCTATCGTTTTAAAAAACAAAACATAAAAAAACTAACAATAAACTATTTCTAAACGTAAAACGTTTAGAAATATATTTTTTATAAATAATATTTTTAATAATATTAATAATTATTTTATTAATATTTTATATTAAATAATATTTTTAATTAATATTTTAAATGATATTTATAAATAATAATTTTTATAAATAATATTTTTTATTTGCAATGAATTGATTCCTTGTGACGTTTTAAAACAATAAAATAGGGTAGTTTTTTTAAAAGTTGAATTGAAAAAGTGTGATTACTTATTGCTACTTTAAACTATGATAGTTGTACAATATTTAATTGAAAATAATACTATTATTCCTTGAAAAATGACGTATTTTTACTCCGTTCTCACTGCAGCTATTAAGGTGAGTTTCCACTCATCCGTTTTTTTACGGGAACGAGATAGGAAAGGGAAAAATAATCACGTGATTACACCGTTTATGTTACATTTTAGAGGCCGATTTTAAGAAGTTGATTTATAAAAAAAGATGGTTGCGCAACTTTAGAGAAAACGTATTATTATATCTTATATTATTATATCTCATCTGGATAATCATTATATCATCTGGAATAAATAAATAGAATTAATTTAATATTACGAATAAAAAAGTATTTATACAACTGACATTTTGTGCTTTCATACTGGCAATATGTGTATTCATAAATATTTATATTTATGTATGTATATATATATATATATATATATATATATATATATATATATATATATATATATATATATATATATATATATATATATATATATATATATATATATATATATATATATATATATATGTATAATGAAAACTAAATAATTATTAAGATATATTTCAATTACATTTACTAAAAGTTTAACGCAATAGCGATCATCGGATCGCTATTGCCTAGTCATCGGATCGCTATTGCGTATTAAAGTTCTTTATTAGAAATTTATTTTCATGGTTTCAAAAGTTTAACGCAATAGCGATCATCGGATCGCTGTTGCCTAGTCATCGGATTGCTATTGCGTATTTAAGTTCTTTATTAGAAATTTATTTTCATGGCGGTATTTTGACGCAAGCTCGGTTCGTTTGTTAAGCAAATTTAATGTTGTCGTAATAATGTGGTATTTTTCTGTCAAGCATAAATTGCAAAATTTACCTCCAGGTTTGAATGGCTCCGCTTGATCACGAATATTTTATTTTAATATAGGTTCTATACCTTTATTTTTGCCTTCCCACATAAATTTTTATACTTTCATGAACAAAGGAGTTTTTATGCTTATACCACCTGTCTTTGAACGTTTTCTCAGTAAGCCCAACGTAATAATATCTTTCTTCTTCCTGGTGCATTGGAAATATAAATAAGATTTTTTGTAAGGCATTTTCCATTGAGTGGACATAAGGTGGTTTGTCGACAATTGCATAATTGATTGGTATTTTCATGAGAACTAAATAATATCTTTTTATTATAAGAAGTAATAATACTCTTGATGTTTGGAAGGCAGCTATAACTAACTTTTAAGTTGTTTTGATTAAAAAGTTTGTGAAATTTGTGGCCTTTTGGGAAACATTTATCAATTGTACTCAAAAATGTTTTGGCTACTTTTGTTCTGACGTTGAGTGAATAAGGTGGGTTAAACCAGATAATGTTTCTTTTTCGAGATTTTGTATTATATTTCTGGATATTTGGAATGAAATTGATCTTCTCTTTGAATCCACAAGAATTGAGAGCGTTATTATAAAATGGTGCGGCTCTATCAAAAGCTTCTTTGCTTGAAGATATATTGCTAATGCGGTTAGAGATCATTTTTGGTATCGATTTAATAATGCTTGGTGGATGATTGTAAGTGATGTTAATATATAAAGGATTATCTCCTGGTTTAATGCAATATCAAGAAAATTTACGGATTTTAAGTTTGGTTTGATAGTGATGTTAAGATTAAAAATGTCTTTAAAAATTTTTATTAGATTTTTCTTTATTTTTTCCGATTGAGGACCACTGATATTATAGAAGCAGCAAACACCATCATCTCTATATAGACCGGTATTGTTAAGACCATATTCTTTGGCAATAGTGTATAAGATATAGAGGCCAACTAGTTCGCATAATTCGGCTCCGTCAAAACTACCCATGGTGACATGGAAATTAGGGTCCGCCGACTTTTTAATCCACATATTATTTCCTGAAAAAAGTAAAGATTTCCTGGCGTGGTAAATAATTTCGAGTGATTTATCAGGAATTTTAGTGAACTGCTTTGCATGGTTTATAGAATCTTGAAGAAGTTGTTTCGATATTGAAGGGTAAAAGTCTTTAATATCGTACTGAATGAAAGTACATTTATTTTTTTGTCGGGTATGGATTTGAACCATAACC